AAGAGGATGTAACGGTTCATGGTGTGTCGACACACAAGAGGCGGCAAGAAGAAAGATAGTAGAAAAGGTTTTGTGTTGGCCTGTGGTAGGCACACGTGAGCCCCAAGGAGGTCTGTATTGTTTGAGCTCGAGCAAAAGTTTCGTCCAGCCTGCGGGGCGAGCGGGCGTCAATGTTTGTGTAGGGCATATTCCATGAGTGCCTACAGGACGGCCACATAATCGCCTGTGTTTGCCAACTTCTTACTGGAACCCCAAACCAATGAGGAGGCCTGCATGGTGCGCGAAAAACATTTGGTGGAGACGAGAACATTCTGCTTGCTCTTTGGTCTCAGTCACTTTTCAAGGTCTTTACAGAACCGTTTACAACGGAGGGGGAAAAGTTAATCGCTAGGAAATTGTAGTTGCCTTTTAAAGATGTTTTTCTAGTTTGAGCTGTTAGGATTGAAATAGCTTCTAAGAACTACAAGATACGGCCCTTTAGTAAAAATAATTTTAAAAAAGATGGTAAGCGTAGGTCGGAGAAATAGGTCGGTCTATTCGTGGTCTTATTGAGCATTAGATGTCTTGAACACACCCCTCTTGAGAATAAATACTCTTTGGACACTATTTTCTTTTATTTAAAAAGTCATAGTGGTCATTCTCTTGGTACGTTAAGCGGATTGACAGGACGAGAGAATGTTCAGTCTCAAAGCTGAGACTCGGTAGTTTAAGCGGATACAGTCTCCTGTTTAATTTTTTTCCGCTTCTAACATTAGGTGATTTAAAACGGACGTTCTGTTTTGTCAACATGGACATATCAACATTCCATCAGCCCATGTCGTTGCCAACACGTCTTGTGTCTACTCCTGAAGACCGGTGGGTACTTGTATGTACATTTGTTTGATATTGTGACTACAATCAGCATAATCCTAGCTGCATAATCCGGTTACATGTGGTCAAGTCAATGCAGACACTTCAGTTTTAGCCCGGTGGCATACTGGCATTCCCTCAATCTAGACTAAATGCTTACCCTCTGAAAGCACCTTGAGCCCTGAGGACATCAGGAAGCCCTACAAGCTGTGTGGGGTACACACACTTGAAACCTAGCGCACCATCCCTGGACCATGTCGCCGATGGCCGAGGGCAGACTGCAGCTTTAGTTGGCCCAGTCTCCAGGACCGCTGCCACTGCTGGATATTACCAGAACGCCAGATCTGCTGGCAGGAATTAAAGGGACGCGACCGGCTCTCTTAGCTGAGGTTTTCATTTTCACACTTGGCCAAGTACTTGGAAGGCCTGGTCTCAGTGTGCCATCGACTCATTGATTAAGCTTTGAGAAACGGAGACCTCTTACCACCATGGCGTCATGGTTCCTTGAGAGCGAGGTTTAAGGGACTGGATCGTGCTAAGCTCTTTTAAGCAGGTAGAACCGAGCCTCGGGTCACACTGTACGGCGGGGCTTTGCGATTCGAGCAACATGTATGACGCACGCTGTCCGACAACTTCCTCGGATATGTTTGTTGCGAATACAGGTCAAAGCCACTAGAGTGTGTGGTCTCGTTCACAGCAGGTCAGCATTCATAACAAGGAATAATAACCACTGAATTTTGTGTGTCATTGTGCGTGTCTGCTCATCGTGGTGTATTTTGAGGAATATTGTTCGGGGAATAACATCCTACATCAGGATTAAAATCTATTCGACAAAGTTGCACTGCTATTCTTTTAAGTGATTTACAGTACTGTGCTTTCTGGAATTCCTAATTATTCCCTGGGAATTTTTAAAACAGTAAACGATGTGGGAAATTACAATTTTCACTTTTATGGATGCCTTGGGATCTTTGGACTTTACCACGGAACCTTAAAAACTGAGAGGAAAGTATTGTTTTTAATATTATTTCCAAAAGATAAATAAGTTCAAGTTTTTCTTTAAAATCTTGGAATAAAAAAGATCTTTGCTCGAATAAGATTAGATATAGCAATTCTGCATTTAAAAACAACAATGCAGGTTGTCTTCTAAAGTTAAAAAGTGAAATTAGATCTCAAAGGCGAATGGTTTTATTGAACACTCCTTGATGAACTATCCTAACCAATTCAGGAGTTTGGGTCGCTCTCCCAGTTTAGTGATTGAAGAAACATATCTGACATGTACTTCCAAAGATGCATTGTGTGGCCTGCTCACGTCTGGTATTTTCTACGTTTCTGTTTTGGAAGCACGTAAATTATTATACCTTCAGGATTTCCGCATATTTCCATTATGGACTTGAGACCATGGTTTTTTTTCACCTTGGGTGCAGAATAACGATTGTCTTCTTTCGACACTTTCTCTTGACGAAATTTGAATGAATGTCCTAGTGTAAATAAGTTCGACTATCTTTTTTTCCCACGAACAGTTGTTCCAGAAGTATCTGACCTTCTGTGGTATTGGCATCACTAACGCTCAGCTGTTCGAGATGTCAGTCAACGAGTTCAAGAGGAATCAGGTAAATGTAGTTTCTCTCTCTCTCTCTCTCTCTCTCTCTCT